TATTAGTCTCTTTTGCTCTCAATGTCGATATACGCTGTTCGATAATAGACGAATCTGATCTGTTGTCTAGACAGACTTTCAAAATGTAACCCTGTTCTGCTTTTTCTATTTATCTCTTTGCGATAAATCACCTGGAGTACTAGGTTATGACACGATTACTGAAACCCTCTGTACATTTAGCCATTAAGCGAAGTCACAGAGTTAACAAATTGAAATGACTGTTGACTCCGTTACACGAATAAGATAGATTTCCATGCTTAATGATAGAGTAGCTAACATTGGTGAAATTGGACAAGTAAAATGGTAACCAATCATCTCGATATTGAGACACGTGACGGTCGTGAAAACTTCTGTTCTATCGAAGGAAAAATTCTAGCGGTATAACTCTTTAACGAATTCATAAATGTGCGTATATATAGGATATATCTCGCCTAAAATGAGGAATTACATGAACTATAATATATATATTTCACTTGAATAATACAAGATACGATGTCACATTAACCATCCTTTAAGTAGCATTAAGAAACAATTTGAAATTCGAACTGTTTCGGTAATTTCTAATTTTCTAATTTCAAATACCAGATAACTTATCAACTATTCGTTATATCTCTTGTTGTCAGAAAATAATTCCATATTTTACCTATTTGCCTTATGTTTTTCACGTCACCATAGTGACGACACTCACTCTCTAACGATCCATCATTTCTACCCTCATTCGTACTTATTCACAGACGTGATTAACATTACACCCTATATCGTTCAACAATGTTATACTTGCACCGATAACCCTGCATTTAACAACTGTTCACCGTAGGATAAGGAAATTAAGATATCATATTAACCACGTACATAACGTGTATACTTGTGGTCTTTCTACACGTATGAATTGTATGCGAGTATGCGAGCATCCAGAAATGCAAGTAGGCGCAAAACTAACAGCAGTCGTTAATATCGAATATTAACACGTAGAGGAAAAATCGACAGGCACTGCATGCGTATTCGTAACGCTTGTCGTAAAAAAAAATTGGAAAAGGATAAAAAAAAAAAACAAAGTTATAAGCATATCTCCGAGATTCTATGTTTGAGCATAATTGCATTTTAGTCTGAAACGCACCTACAATTTATGCAGTGTCCGTCCAAAGGTATATTTTTGGAGAAGCAACTTCTTATTTTGTAATAACATGTATCCGCGCATGAGGATGTGTCCGCGCAACAGCAACTTGTACAAATGTTATACAATACACGCGTATTCGCAGGGTAAGTGATGGGTTTATTGCGAGAAAAGATATTTGAGATTGTTACACATGGATTTCATAGTTTATCATCCTACACGATGCGTCTACGGAGCTTTAGGAGCTAGGTTAATCGAAGATTCAGCCTTCGAGAAAACAGCTTTATCACTTCCGAGCTTTCAACATGGTATCCTAAGTCTATGCACCGAGTAACAGAGACGCAGAGTTTCTAAATTCCTATGTAGAAGTCAGTTGCCTAAATACTGTTTAACTCGCTTGACACATTGGTCTAGATCAACGGTTCTTAACCTTCTTCCCTCGCGTACCAACCAACTTATACGTGATCGAGTCGCATACTTCTGTGTAGGTGTATATTCATTTTAACCTACTCCTCTGTACATAATTTCAAAATTTTATACAACTTGGTTCAACTCACTATCCTCAGTCGAGAATCCTTGATCTAGATGTCTTTGATGGAATCTTGACTGACAAAGAGATTTCAACTTGAGAAATAGAAATAGCTAGAAGATGCCAATCTAATGAATAAGATAAATTGATGAGAACTATAACATCTTTCTTTGCAAGAAATTCTTCAAGTATAGTTACTTTATGAAAAGAAGCATGAATGATGGAACCTATGACAACGAGCTGTTACAATATTAGACTCAACAAAGAACTATTTCCAAGTGCAAGTGATTAGATAGATGAAACTTTCCATAGCTTAAGTTCAGACATGGTACTAACTCACTAATTGACTAATTGACTAATTGATTGCAACAACGGCCGCTTGATAGCCTAAGTAGTACTCTCCAAAAAAGGCTTGCTAACTGTCTATGCGAATTAGAAGCAATCACGTTGCTTTCTTGGAGAAGGATTTTGTACCAAGCAGAAGTTACCTATCCCTTGAATCATCTCCAAAAACCTGTGGTATGTAATATAGCAAATGCCACTGCGATTGTATAATTGTATGGTACTACGCATATACCGGCGGATATAAATACTGTTAACTACATTTCGACTCAAATATTGTTTTTTTGAGTAGCTTAGAGGTAGGTGTAAGTAGAACATAGTGTAGTTTGCAAAATAGGAAGCAGTATACCGACGTTGTAGACAGCGAAGATAATATTCCCAATATTTTCTAATTACCATGTGATTAATTGATATTAACTCGACGAAATTGACAAATTTCTGTTTCTCGTGTGAGAATAATATATTTTGTGTCGATATCACTGCTTCTATTTTCAGGAGATACGATTACTTTGAAGATTTGGATACTCGAGTAGATCATTGCATGAATAGCTTAGCATTGTTTAAGATTATTAATTTTGTATTCGCAACTCTATATTTTATTACTCATTTACTACGAAGAAATATCACATTATTTTGTATGTTTTGCATTTACCAAGAGCTAATATTACGGTATATAAGCACCAAATCGTATATACATTGCAGGTATTGTAATTGGAGTAATTACCTAATACCGAACTTTTTACCAAGACCTCCGTTTGCTTCGTTTCCAAACATTTTAAAGTCCCTCTCTTTAAATGATAAGGAATATTAAAAAAAAATTAAAATATAAAAGTAATTTGGAAAAGAAGCATTAAGAATAAATTGTTAATTAAGGTACCACGGCATATCGGCGTTGCACATCATGTATTTCTACGATTATCTTATTGATTGACTACTACTTTTTATTACTGCGAGCTTTTGTAATAACGTTTACGTCGTGAATGTTTCGAATTGTTTGCACGTACAGCATAGTGCGTTTATACGTATATGAATTTATAACATTTCTATCTATAAATATATATAAATATAACATAAGTACTTGACACCTCAAAGAAAAATTTACAAAGCTAGTGATTTCATAATACTCAGGTAGTCAGTGCGAAAAAACGAAGACTGCAATTTAATATGGTTAGAGTTTAACGTAATTATATTAGAACATTCGTATTACCAATAATTGGCAAATTAAAAGAAAGAAAAAGAAAGACGTCCCGACGTTAATTCGATTTCAGAGATGTAACAAAATCTTGCGAAATTGCAATTATTCTTCCTACTGACCTGTGCAATGACTGTCTGGGTAAAGTTGTGACTTTTCGAACGAGATTGTCGAAAGCCACTATGCTTGAAACTCTGAGGACCATAAACTCACAATAAAGTTTCTCTTTTTCTTCGTATCAATCATGATCGAAGTGTTAGAAACGAAATTTGTGTCCATATAGAACCTTCTGTATAGGCTACACTTCGTTTACGATACTCGTATTAACATTACTCTATTATAAATTGATAAGTAATCGAATTAACCAAAAGAAAAAAATGAAGAAAATGGAAAAAAAGAAAAACAAGTAAAATCGATGTTGTGTCTGAATAAATGTCCATTATATCGTCTGCATGACGAAGCATACCAAATTATTTAACCATCGATTAAGAGACATAGATAGATCGAGAAACGTAGCGTAGCAAGGATCAGTGTATTGTGTTAGTTTAGTTGCGTAGTTGAGTGTCACGAGTATAACGTATATAATTATAATCTAAAGCAATGCGAGATTTCTTAATGTAGTATATTAACCCTTTTGTTACTAAGAGCAACTATAGTCACTCAACGACGAGCACTCATTCTGTATTATCAAACATGACCATAGTCATTCAGCTACGAGCGCTCGCTCTATACCAAAAGTGACTATAATCATTCGTAAAAATTTCAATTAACACTTTATTTTCAATCCTATTGTCTGTATCGTTCAATTGCAACTTGACCATTCTGTATACGTATTAGTTTAAAATTCGTTATTTGTTGTTTTGAAATAACTTACAAAATGTAGACTCGCGGCGCAACGGTTAATATATATATCATAAATATGTTTATTTTGTACTGAATGTATTTCGCATTGATGTATTTTTCGCAAGCGTCGACTACGACGTCATCTCGGACATTATTAAAAAGCAAAAAGTATAAAAATCGTCGACTCGTTTCATAAATATTATAGAGTACCTACGCCATTATTTTGGACTCACGAGTAAATCACTGCTTGAAGACAACTTTTCTTTTCGAAATACTACGGGAGAAAACAAGAAGTTTTGTTTTTCGAGTGATCGTGGAAACGCGATAAAAATTTAACAGATTTTCGCGAACCACCAAAAAGACTACTTCGTTTTCCTTTGTAATTTATTTGGGTAGAATCTTGTATATTTTACGCGATACCTAAGCTGCTATTGTTTACATTTTTGTTATTTTTATTATAGTAGTATTTGAATAAACTTTGTTACGCTTACAAGCAAGATATTAGTCATTCAACACATCCCACGTTTATCCTAAAATGTATTTTACCATGAATTATGTAAATGTAGATTTTATAATAAAAGAATTTCTTTTTGTATAGCCTGACACAACTCTGCGGTAGGTGATTGTAGATAATAAAGACACTTATAGTCTGTTCATTCTTTTATTCTAAAATACCTTTATAGATGTAATATTAGAAGTTGAAATATGAAAGTAGAATTTTATATTAATCTTTGTGTGGTGAATGTATGAAAATTAGAACGTATATATGTTTAAATCCGATACGCTACAATTTTCAAATTCATTTTAGAAAGTATTTAATGGCTCTTATTATTGTCCTAGTGAATCTACTTTTATTATGCTACATAAATCGAGTAAAGTAATTATTGCTATTTAAAATGGAATGTTTATGCTTCTCTCTTACAGCATATTTGAATATTCCGCCAGGACGTAATGAAACAATGCGTCTTATAGATGGCGCGAACATCGAAATACAAAACTTTAAGGGTTAACATCAACTCCTAATAGTTTGCAATCAATTTTATATTACCATGTAAGAAATGTAAAGTTTTATATATAGCAAGTTGTTAAAAAGCAATAAAACGACTGAAAGCTCTTTAACTGTGGATAATTCTATAAATTAGAGGTTAGTATTGGTAGTACAGGTTAGTACTAAACTTCTTTGAAAACAGTAAACATCAAATACTAAGCTAATATTTGATATTTATTTACAAAACAACTAACTATTTTTCTATTTTAATTAGATTTATGTATAAAAATTCTGTCAATTCTAGAAGATCAACATTAATATAATTTTATATTTGTTTTCATAGATATGGATCCAGAATTTCTTTCTAGATTAATCCCACAAAATAAAGAACATGTACGACCAGCATGCAAAAAATGTGGATATGCTGGACACCTTACATATCAATGTCGTAATTTTATCAAAGTTGACCCAAACAAAGAAATTGTTTTAGATGTTAGCAGTACTAGCTCTGATAGCGATGAAAATTATGTTACTCCACTGACTGAATTACGTGAAAAGGAATTAAAAAAGAAACTCCAAGAAGCTAAGAAAAAACATAAGGATAAGAAGACTAAAAAGAAATCTAAGAAACGCAAGAGGTCTGAAAGTGATATTGAATCAGAAACAGAAGCCTCCAGTGATGAAGACAAGAAACATAAACATAAAAAGAAAAAGAAAAAGTCAAAACACAAAAAACGTAAGAAATATAAAAAAGACAATTCATCAGATAGTAATTGCAATGATAAAAAAAGATAATTTTTCTTCATCTAACTACTAGATGATTCTCGAATTGTAAATATTTTGCTCAAACTACTAGTACGTTGTACATAAGTAAAATTAAATGATTTGTAAATAAACTTATAAAAACTACATTTATATGAATTGAATATTGTTTGTATAGAAATAGGAAAAATTAATATAATTATTCTATTGTATTGTTGTGGATTTTATAAAAGTAACAAACTATAGCAATTATGAATGGAAATTAGTTTGGATATAAATTTAAATTAAATATATTGAATAAATATCATGGTAAATTATATTTGTAAAATAATAAATTGTATACAATTTCCTTGGTGAAAACTGAAATACAAAACTTTAAGGGTTAACATCAACTCCTAATAGTTTGCAATCAATTTTATATTACCATGTAAGAAATGTAAAGTTTTATATATAGCAAGTTGTTAAAAAGCAATAAAACGACTGAAAGCTCTTTAACTGTGGATAATTCTATAAATTAGAGGTTAGTATTGGTAGTACAGGTTAGTACTAAACTTCTTTGAAAACAGTAAACATCAAATACTAAGCTAATATTTGATATTTATTTACAAAACAACTAACTATTTTTCTATTTTAATTAGATTTATGTATAAAAATTCTGTCAATTCTAGAAGATCAACATTAATATAATTTTATATTTGTTTTCATAGATATGGATCCAGAATTTCTTTCTAGATTAATCCCACAAAATAAAGAACATGTACGACCAGCATGCAAAAAATGTGGATATGCTGGACACCTTACATATCAATGTCGTAATTTTATCAAAGTTGACCCAAACAAAGAAATTGTTTTAGATGTTAGCAGTACTAGCTCTGATAGCGATGAAAATTATGTTACTCCACTGACTGAATTACGTGAAAAGGAATTAAAAAAGAAACTCCAAGAAGCTAAGAAAAAACATAAGGATAAGAAGACTAAAAAGAAATCTAAGAAACGCAAGAGGTCTGAAAGTGATATTGAATCAGAAACAGAAGCCTCCAGTGATGAAGACAAGAAACATAAACATAAAAAGAAAAAGAAAAAGTCAAAACACAAAAAACGTAAGAAATATAAAAAAGACAATTCATCAGATAGTAATTGCAATGATAAAAAAAGATAATTTTTCTTCATCTAACTACTAGATGATTCTCGAATTGTAAATATTTTGCTCAAACTACTAGTACGTTGTACATAAGTAAAATTAAATGATTTGTAAATAAACTTATAAAAACTACATTTATATGAATTGAATATTGTTTGTATAGAAATAGGAAAAATTAATATAATTATTCTATTGTATTGTTGTGGATTTTATAAAAGTAACAAACTATAGCAATTATGAATGGAAATTAGTTTGGATATAAATTTAAATTAAATATATTGAATAAATATCATGGTAAATTATATTTGTAAAATAATAAATTGTATACAATTTCCTTGGTGAAAACTGTACTTTTATAAAATAAATAAATAAAATTAAAGTGTTATATTCCAATTGTATATAGATTTAAATGCATATTCAAAAAGTTGGTAAAAAAGGAAGGTTAGTGGCGCTAGTAAATATATTATTGCGCAAGCACAGAGATCCGGACAGTAATACAGTAATTTTAGGTTAGAAGAGACTGGTCAGTAAACAAAGCATGACACGACATGCGAGAAATTGCACAGCTGGTGCTGTTTATACTTATCACGAGAAAAAAAAGGACGCAGCAGCCTCAGGTTATGGCACAAATACGCAAAGAGTTGGGAAAGATTCTGTAAAAGATTTTGACTGTTGCTGTTTGACATTACAACCATGTAGAAATCCTGTCATAACGTTTGTATATTATATTAGAACTTTAATTTTAGTTTTAGTTATTCTTATATTATACAGTCAATTTTATATTTACAGAAAGGATGGCTATTTGTTTGACAAAGAAGCTATATTGGAATATGTTTTAACAAAAAAGAAAGAATATGCAAGGAAGTTGAAGGAATATGAGAAACAAAAACAACAAGAAGAAGTAAATAAAAACCTAAGAAAGACATGTTATCCGATATATTATCGAATTTTTATAATTTTTTTAGGAACAGTCTAATGAAAAAAGCGCTAATGAAGAATTGCAAAAATTGCAAAAGTTTTTAAAGGGCGAGAAAAATATTGTTTCTAGAAGTCAAACGATCATCAAAGAGTCTACTTCTTCAGTTTCTAATATGGTTAATGGCAAAGATAAAATGTTGCCAAGTTTTTGGATTCCATCTAAAACACCAGAGGCAAAAGAAACTATGTTACAAAAACCAGATAAAAGAATTTATTGTCCTATTAGTGGTAATCCATTAAAAATAAAAGATCTTATTCACATAAGATTTACCGAAGTAAAGGATCCTGATGATAAAAAGTCTCTGATTGTTAAACAAGCTAGATATATGTGTCCAATTACACACGATATTTTAAGCAACAGTGTTCCATGTGCAATCATAAAGACAACGTATGACCTTTCACTTTCTAATACTTGTTATTACATTATTTATTAGATGCAGAATATAAACAAATATTCTGTAATATTTTTTAGTGGTGATGTAGTTACAATGGAATGTGTAGAAAAAATTATCAAGAAAGATTGGATTAACCCCTTAGATAATACAAAATTGACAGAAGCGGATATTATACCTCTTCAAAGGGTAATTATTGATAGTAAAATTAAGATATAACAGACATAGAATAAGATAATCTATTGACTTCTTTTCAGGGTGGTACTGGATATTCGTCAGTTAACGATGGCTTAGAAGGTAAACATGAAAGACCAGTATTACAAGCGTAAAGTATATAGATATTGTAATTTTTATACGTACAAGAATTAATGTATTACAATGAAACATATTATCAGAAAGAATTAATAAAATGTATATTATCCTGACTTACTAAACAGAGCATACGATTGTTATACGTACAATTGGATATAAAATATTTTAATTTTACTTGAGAAAATTAGATAAGAAAAAATTTCATACCCTTCTTAACTGAAGAACATCGAAATTTGTATAAAAAAAAAAAATTAAGAACAAGTAAATTCTCCATATATACAATTGGATATAAAATATTTTAATTTTACTTGAGAAAATTAGATAAGAAAAAATTTCATACCCTTCTTAACTGAAGAACATCGAAATTTGTATAAAAAAAAAAAATTAAGAACAAGTAAATTCTCCATATATACAATTGGATATAAAATATTTTAATTTTACTTAACAAAATTAGGTAAGAAAAATTACATACCTCTCTTAACTGGGGGGCAGTGCTTCTCTTCAGTCCTTCAGTCCTTCCACAATTATCATTTTCACTAATTTAGATTTTCTTGCACTATGTTACACTTATCACCAGCTCATTTAAGAAAAGAAATTATTATATTAGATAAAAATTGAATATATTACGCGTAATTGAGCATATGGTAATATACATTATTCATTTCATACGCAACCACGTTAAATTTTTATTGTGAAAGATTTTAGGTGTAATTCCTATATAATATAATTGAAATTTTCAAGTTATTTATATATATTTTTGATATTTATACAAATAAATTGTTTTACTTGCAATTACGAACGTAATAGCGAAGAATTGACACATTACACATCACTCCATTACAAGAATTCGAATTTGAACGATGATGACGCAATATGATTGGATTATATTTAAAATTTTCTTAGCGCGCGAAAAGACCAATCCCACAATTCCTTTCGTGCAGAACACCCATTCGAGATCCAATCCAGACTGTGGCTTCTGTTAGAAGGTGTCGCCATCTTAAGGAATACAGTTTTTTAAAGCATTCCGAAATTCTGGCGCTCTGCCGGCCAGGCGGCAATCTGCGAGACTGCGTTAGTGTTCGCTGTTCGCGTAGTGCTTGCGCGCGTTCTTAACTTTTATTTCTCGTAATTATCTTTTTATTCGTAAAATCAAGTGTCAGCATTAGTTATAAAGTGCAGAAGTCGCGATGATCGTTCGCCAATAAATTAAAGGTGAGTGTCTGCCTAAGTGTGCCTTTTATCGGACCGAGTATTGTCACATGTGCAATGCCACGACGGTAACACTTTATACGCTTGGTAAGTCAGCAATTTTGATACCTTTTGCGAAACAATCATCTAGTGAGATCGTTGGAAATGTCAATAAGGGTATTCATGGGTAACTCGGTATAAGGAAAAATTCACTTTCAAATTATAATGTAGCTGTGTTCAATACATATTGCAATAGCTTGACTTGATTAGTTTTGCATGTCAGTTTCCAGCAACTTCACGAACAGGCGTTTACAATAGATCCGTAAGTAGGACATGTAAATGCATCGATTAGTTGACTATCAGCGTCGAGATAATGCAATTGGCAAAACATAAACAAAATTTCGACACATTTTAAGTTCGTTCAAGTTGCATCTCATTAAACAGTAAATAAAACTACGATGATACATAGCACAAACATCATACGTTAATTGCATCGACATATTTTCAAACATCGAAGATCGTTATAGTTCATACTTTTCGTCATTTTAATTTGTGCGTTCGCGGGTTTAACACGATGCCACCCCACTACCGGACACTACACATCTCATTTTTCGCTAGCGTGCATTTTCTACGAACAGTGTCAGCTTTGACGTATCTCAAATATGCAAAAATTATTTAAGGTTATTTTATATCTGCTGTTAAACAAAAGGTTCGAAACGTGTTTATTGTCAACTTAAAAAATATTAGTACAATACATGGAATTATATATATCGATTATATGGTCGTTCATCATATCAACCAAATCGATTTTAAATTATCGATTATATTGATTTTCGCTTGTCTCATTGTAGCTTGAATACCAGTCGGTGCAGTTGATCTAATCTAAACGATTAAAATCGAGATCGCAATCGCGTTGCATTGTGTACAGTGGCACGAATGGCGTGACGACAAAGATAAAACATTTGAAGTAATTAACCAATAGATTTACACTTTTATTAAGTTTCAAAAGTTGTTTGAAAAAAGTAGCGATTGAATATATCGTCGTATTGGATTATTACGAATGAACCATTGTGACTATGTTATTTTCCTTGAATCGTGACTAAACATTTTCTCTAGACAACTGGAAGACAAAATTCATTGCAGTGATTTGATACTTTATAATATTTATTCTTCGGTTATGTACAGAATCGTCCATCTATACTTTAAATCGTGAAGATTAACAATAACGTAAAATCTGTATTCGTTGACATATAGGAACACATGTATCTTGCATTAATCATCTGACGCATTAGATAAAAATGCAAATTTATCGGAAATATGTTCACATATAGTACACTACCAATGGTAAGATAACCTTCTATGTAGACAATATATATATAATATACACTTATATGTCACGACAATGAGAAATATACGTGCATACATACATAAACGTACGTGAACCCTTGTTATATCACTAAGCACATCTGCACGCTGTCTACATAACCACAAAATATGTATCGACTGCGTCTGTAATTCGCCATATCCATGTTCCGTTCTACATGCACGCGCTCTCGTGTACGTGTTATACGTAATAGAAGGTTAAGCTAGGTTGACCGACCATGATGCAGAGTGCATGCGTAACGAATAGTTCACGCCGATCGTATGAGAACATACACATGAGAGTAAAAACACGATATCGTGCATGTGTTTTCGTGCACGCGTAGATGATAAGAGGCGACACGATGTTATATCATCGTCTACGAGGCGCATGGCGCATATTGCGACACAATCGCTGCAGTTCTTTCACCCATTCGTTTTAGCTGAACTATATGTGGTAACATGTACGTATATAGCAGAAATCGGCTCAGTTGGTAATCCTTTGAGACAAGAATCGCCGATCGATTAACTGATTTGAACCAAAGGCACTGATGATGAACCCAGTCATTGTGAGTCAATGGCTGGACGAACTTGAGATGAATTGGATGCTGATTAGTCTTAAATTAGAGTTTTAATAATGGTACTTCAATTGTTGCAGTCTGCGGGATCGTTGCAATGTGGATAGTATTGACATAGTAATACAGTAATATCTGTATTATAGCCAACGGACAGTATATTAACATAAATTTATTTATGATAATACTTTTAAGTATGTATACTACTTTTATGCTATTTTATACTATGCTAGCATACTATTTATGTACGATATTTTGAAAGTAGAAATTAATTTAATAATAAAAATTACTTTGTTGTACTTGTTATATAGGTACAAAAAATGCTGAATTTTATGCATCAAATGAGCAGATGATAAAATATATTATTTATATATTGATCACTATAAGAGTAGGAGGAAATGGAAAATGATATTTATTGCATGACAAAGTTTTAGTAAGCATTTCTACAGATTGCATTTAAATACAGTTTTAAGATTTCCTCGGTATAAAGTAACGTGGAAAATCCCCGGTTTACATCAGATCGCTTTATTGTATTAGTCGTAAATCGGCATTTCATGATATGCCTTCGAACGTGCACTACTAACTTCTACAAATGCAGCATTTCTATTCTCTTTCCAAATGAATTTTCCAGCTAGTATTTAATTCGATGTTGCATTGCATTTTCCAAGATTATCCTCTATTATTTAAAAAAAATTGTTTAAATTGTCAATATTAAAATCAACTCGAGAAATCAATACATTGCTTTGGGCATCATCTTCTTTCTTGTCATTTATTACATAGCTTTCCATAAAGTCGATAATTATTATTCAATACTTCCACTACTTGATTAACTTTTAAAATTGCACTCATGAATTATGTACATTGAAGTACGAGTAATCATTAACAACCATTGAGAGTCATTAGCATTGAAAAGTAATGAAATACATAATCTATGGTTTAACCGTCTTCCATGACAAGTAAAATAACCATGACAAGAAAGGAGTTCTGCTTATATGTAATTTGATAGTAGAATTTTTCTTAGAAATTCTGTCTCGACCTTCCCGTTGTTTATCAGTACTTATAGTCCATTACATGAATCATTAGCGTTATTTCTATTCTTCCGCGGTTATAATACATTAACTAGTTACGTAATTTGTATGTAAGAATGATACACTCTCTAGCGAATTTTCTCGTTAGCATGATTTTTCGTCAATAAGATTAATCTATCGGTGACTTTTAAGAACGTAATAAGGTTTTATCATTAACGATGGAGTCAGCAAGAGAGAAAGTAGGAACTAGCAGTAGTTTACTACCGTATGTGGTTCGCCTTTGTTGTGCAGACGTACTAAACTACTGACCTCCCTTCTCAAGAAACTTGCAGACACACCCGTGCACCTAAACGTAATCATAAATATGCCTGTCATGCTTATCATACGTGTTATCCACTTGTTTTCCGCGTTAGAATTTATTTATTTAATATTAATCAATAAGCAAATAAGTTAGCTTTGAATAGAATTTCTTTTATCATAATTCTTCTTGCACTGTTTACAATTTTTCTAGCTCTGTCTTCATTTACATTTTTATCCTAACTTAGGTATTATTTATTACAAACTATTTCATAAATTAAATACGTTCATAATATTTTCCACATCTTATGTTTGTTATAGATTAGATATTAAAAGTTAATTTAATTCTTTAAAAATTGATACAATATATTAAATCACAGAAATATTAATTTTTTCTTTCAATTTAGTAATTTTCAAAAGTTTGTAGAATAATTGGTATCTAATTTTATTAGTTATGTATTATAATTAACTACTATATTTACGATGATTACCACACAACAATAAAAGTAACTATCTATGTACAATTATTCATTTCTGCCTCGATAATGTTATGTTTTCAATAATTATAAAATAATAAATCAGGAACCAGTTGTTTCGACTTGTTTGATAGTTTTATCGTTGAATCTATAAATCTCTGCAAAATAATAAATCAGTATCTTCGATCAACCGTAACACTAAATTGCCTCCACTTTTAATAATCATTTGTTACATAAGAAAAATATCTTTTCGGTATTTTCCGAAGAAAAATTTAGAAGTGATTTCACAGTACCAGGAAACAGCTGATGTTTATATGTATGAGCCATCATTTTTCAAACGTTTTTTCTTTTTTTTGTGCCTCGTCATTTTTTCTCATCGAATTACGATAGATTAATGGATCGCGGAAAGATTCGTGCGATTAGATCCACTTATTTTCTCAAAGCAACACGATAACATTCGATTCCGAGGTGTCTCGTAGAACTTCCTTCCTCGGCGCAAAATTCTAGGCAGGTAGGGCGAAAATTACGAGCAATGGTTTCCTGCTGGCGGAAACTGTTAGCCACGATAGCTCGTTAATAAATATATATAGCGGCATACCCGGTCACTAGTACACACTTTAAACATTACGTAATACGTCTTGCGTGTTTTGCGGTGCGCATTACCTCATATCAAAGCAATTCTCGAGTATGGCACGGTCATTTTCCCACCGTGGCTACCCTCTCCTCTCTTCACTTAAGTATGCGTGAACTTGTTTCCGTTTTAGAAAAGACACCTTAGCGGAAAAATCGCTGTTTCCTCCTTTCTTGCAAAACACGCACAGGATACACAGGACACCGTGCTATTGCGCATGTGGTCGAATTCTATTTGCAATTTTAATTCGTTCATAACGTTCGTAGAAAATTACTCGGTCACTTGGAAGTTTTACCTTAGGGATATCTTTGAAAATACCATTGGCTTTCAATTAGCTAGTATTGCCTACGTTAATATTAAATAGGAGCTCATAGAACGATATATCGCCGATCTAAGTAATCATGTTGTCTATGTGGACGGTAGATCAGTGAACATTTCTTTGCCAGTGTTACCTAAGCTATGGTGGACTTCCTGAGAAAGGTGAAGTAATTATTCGATGGTTAATGCATCGTTAAGTAGGCTTGAATAATTATTCTGCCTTAACAGAGGTTTCTTTCATCGCTTTGCTAAGTATTGTCAATATTTTTTTGTGATCTGGACTCCCATAGAAATCCCATGTTGTTCTGTTCCTTTTAATTTCAACGTGAGATATAATAGTTTTTTCTTTTTTATTAAGTTAGTATTTAATATAAATACGAGGAATAGATTTTTAAATATACAGGGTGGATCATGACCATTTCAA